TTAGGCCCAACCTCTCTCCTAAATTCCAGACCACTCTACCATCAGGGTCTTGACCCTCAACATGCTCCAACTAAACTCCCCTCACACACAAACACCCTACTATAAACTCTTGTCCTCTGCCTGGATTCCTCATCCCATTAATGTGCCTCCTACATAGTCAGACATCCTCCACTCTCTTTTCTTCCATACTTCCCACAAACAATTCATTGTTTAGTCCTATTGATGCTATTTTTCAGTTTTTCAATCTCTTCATTCCCCCAAAAACTATTGCAGTTTAGGCCCTGTTACCACTCATGGCTCTGGGACCAGCCTTCTCACTGATCTCTCTACTTGCATTCCTCACCTCAAATTCTATTCCATACTCCACACTGTAGCCAGTGAGTCCTCTAAAGTGCACAGCTGACCTGTTCATTTCCTCATTTATAAGCTCCCACAAGCTTCCATTCGTTTATCCCACAAATAGTTATTTACCACCTACTAGTTGCAACCACTGTTTTGGGAACTGACAATACAGCAGAGAGCAAAACAATGCTCTGCCCTCATGAACCTTCTAACCTGGTATAAGGCCAAATGCCTTACTTAGTGTGGGAAGCTCATGCCTGCCTCCCCAGCCTTATATCCTAATTCTCCTTATTCCCTACCTTTGAGCCATATTAAATTCATTTCAGTGCCTTAAATGTACTGTTCTGTTCTGTTCTGTTCTACCCTCCCTGCCTTTTCCCAGGCTCTTTTGGGAATGCCTGCCTCCCACCCACCATACACCTACACAGTCACTTACTCTGCAGTAGTTTAGAGGCTGCTGTAGGTAGTGTTGATCTCCATAATGACCTGGGTTCAAAGCTCAGCTCCACATATGCTAGCTGTATTACCTCTGTCAAGTTATCTGGTTGGTGCTTCAGATCCTCATCTTAAAATGGAAAATAATTACAGTACCTTTGTAAGAGTTGGTTGTGAAAATTAAGTTAGTCAATCCATAAAAAGTGCTGAGATACTTTAGGTGCCTGACACATTGTAAGCCTTTAATAAATGTTGGTGGTTTGGTTTCCTATGACCAAATAAGATTATGAAGTAATAACAGCAATCTTAAGGCTTCTTCTGAATATCTTTGTGACCAAATGTCTAAGTGTATGCTGTTGCCATTGCATGAGAAAAGCTGCAGAGGAGTGAGCAGCAAGAAAAGTATGTTGAGCTGGGCTGAACTGAGAAATTTTCATTTCTTTATTCATTGACTTGGGGTTGAGAAGGGACCAACTACCCTAAAGTAGCCATTACCTTCAACTCTCATCCCTCAGCCCCACCTCATACTTTCCACTTACCACCTTCCCACTGCCATGTTCCCCTCGATCATGTATAAACTGAAACCCAGAAAGCAAAAGGAATGCTGAGGGAAAGGGGAATGGGGTGGAGAAAGGTTAACACCTCCCTCCTTCCTTTACTGAGATCAAAGCCAGCATTTTCACTAGAAGACCACTGACCACTTTCATCCCTTACTCCACCTGTCTGGGAATTGGATTGCTGCTTGCCCATTTCCTTTCCTCTTTAGGGCTGGAGGGCAGTTTCAGAGTGGGGCCTCAAGCTATTTCTAGTGCTGGCCAAATCCCTCCACCCTAACATCTCTTTTGCCTTATGTGATCAGATTTCCTTTCCACCTCGCCAGTAAGTAACAAGTGGCAGGAGCATAGGGCAGGAAACTGTGAGAGAAGCCAGTTTATCCACAGGCCCTAAGCAGAGCTAATGGTTTAAGCAAGTGAAGAAGACCCTGCGGCTGCTGGGTTTTGACTAGTACTAGGAACAGACTCTTCTGCATCATAGCTCCAAGTGCTTGGCCCAACATACCCCTGGGTGTAGGTGAGGCACCAGTTAGGCAAGGGCTTCTTGCCCCAGGAGAAGGGGATTTACCTTACTGAAGTCCTATTAAATGTGTATTATCTCAGTGATTCCTAACAGCCCAGCAAGGTCAGCACTTACCATCCCTCTGGTAGCAATGACAAAACACAGATTAAGAAACTCTCCTGAGGCACACAGCTAAATCCAAGTACAAAAATCCAGCTCTTTCTGGTCTCTAAAACCAGGACTCTTTCCACTTTATCATGCTGCCTCAAGAGTATAGGAAAGCCGTTAATGCAATGAGTTGGCTCTTTGCATTATTCCACAGAATTAACTCAACAACCAGCTAAACCTTTTGTGAGTTACTTTAATTCAACATAATTTTAAAATAAAGGTTTAGAGAGAAACTTTAATAACTTGAGTTCAACTCTACAGGCTATGCACAGAGAGTATGATGAAGGTTCTGCCTTCGCAGAGTTCATAGTCCAGTAGAAAAAAGTTAACAAGTGCAAAAATAAAAGCACAATATAATGCAGAAACAGGGAAATGCCATGAGAGAGCCAGGAAGGGTATAGAGCACCACCTTTGCCTTAGATACAGCTTCTGCCCTTCCCAGTGCCTGTCGTTTCCCGCAGCTCCAAGGAGAGCCTCCAAGACTGGGACCAGCCAACTGCCATGTGGAACTTTCTGCCGTCACAAAACAGGAACATTCTTAAATCATCTGTGTCCCCTAACCTAAGAATAGTGCAAATAAGCAAGACCTGAGAATGATATTTGATTGTCAAAGGTAAGGACATATTTAAAAACCCAGGCTTGGCTCATACCTGCAGCCAGCCTGCTTCAGCAAAGAATGAGTTATTTAGTGGTTAATTAAAACCAGGTGCTAATGCACCCAGGACAAAAAGTTCAATCCCAGGAAAGGTGAGTTCTGTTACATGGCAGTTCTCATCCCAGCTGAACGTCTTGTAACCCTGTGTTCTTGGCAAAAGAGGGGACTAAAATAGGAGAGTGCAGACAACCATGTACCCAACACACAATGAGGATGTTTTCCACTCAGCCCTAAACAGACAGTTCACCACATGTCTTGCTGACAGGATCAGCAGTGTTTCTTTCATAGATGGAGGCAGCGGTTCTCTTCTCCTAAACCTCAGCAAGGCTCCCTGGCCTCTGATTTTCATTGCACCTTCATGCCAGGGCTTTGGGTCTCCCAGAGTGGCTGCTTCATTGCAGCTGCCTTTCTTCTATTGCTCTCTCTAAATCCATCTTTCCATGCCCATGAAATGAGTGTACTACTTGACACCCTCTGGAGGAGGAGAAGCCGCGTAAGGAGAGAGGGCCATACTTGTTTGAAGCCTTCTCTTCCAGAGCCAAGCCACAAGGTCCCCAGGCTTAGACTGAGAGGCCCACCTGTAATACTCTCAACAATAAAATACAAACCTCTCAAGTTTCATTGATCATAATGGGGGATTAGTTTCTGAATGTGTCACTGAGGTAACTCCTCCTGTCTGTTCCATATATGGGTTTAGTAGAGATGATCTCTACTCAAGGCCTCTTCTATCTCTAAAACTCAGGGCATCAGAGAGTAATAACTCCAGAAGCAGGAAAGTAGGCCCCTCTCTTCATTCTGGGTCAGACCAAAAACAACAAAACCAAAAAAGGCATTATAAGCATTGGCACATAAGTCTTGGACATTTTTCTTTTAATTTAAGTGTGTAGAGTTTTCTATAATGGATGTGCAAAAGCCATCTCCCATCAAATTTCTCCCATGGATTCTGCAAAGACACTGTTAGAATCCCTAGGGATTGTTCCACAACCTCTCCCACAGTGCCAGATGTACATCCAGACTCTTAACAAGGATAATTTGGTGGCAATGGCAATACCCTGTATTATTTTTTAGAGGTTCTTTTAATGACATCAAATTCATGACACACATCAAGATCCCTTTTTTTCATGCCCTCTGTACCATTTTTTCTGTGGAATTTGAATTTTTCTGGCTTACTTACTGCCTAATAATATCACTATTAAAAGCACATAATGTTAAGGACCATATGCTCTCTCTCCAGAGAGTGTGCACAAATACTATTTCTGTTAAAAACTAAACAGAAATAGCAGCTTTGCATATTTCCCATTCAAAGACTTACCCCAATTGAATGATTCCCTTTGTTGTTGAGTGTTTTCCCCAAGCGGGCCCCAACAGAGAAGCTGAATCAGACTTACCAAAGGTTACAAGGAGTCATCTAGTGAGCTAGAAATAGAATCCAAAAACCTTTATTTTGATTCCTTGAATTTAAAAACAAATAAACTCTACTACATAGAAAGAAAACTGAAGTAGAAAAACTAGGTTTGTTTGACATTCCTGGGTCAGGTAATTCAAGACAGCCAGAACTAACTGGCAGCTGCCATGGTCAGTGAGGACCAATGAGGTAAATGAGACATAGGTTCTCTCTGCCTTCAAGGAGCTGATAATCCAGCGCAGAGAGATCAGGTCACTGGTGAAAATTTTCTATCCAAAGCAGAATGTGCTTGTGAACAGCTAGAGGACCCCAGAGAAGGCCTCATCCATCTCCAAAGCCCCCACAGCAGCTGGCATAGTGACCTGCATGTGATATGCAGGCAAGCACTGTCTATTTGTTGAACAAGAGCCATAAGAGAGGTACTAACAGAATGCTCTGGGGATTGGTAGAGAATGAAGGACAGCTTGTGAAGAAGGTGACATTTGAGCTGCGCCTGGAAGGATGGGGAGGTTTTTTACAGGCAACAGGAATTGAGGGAGGCCCTTTGTAGGCCCCCGGAAAGAGCAATGGCAAAGGTCCTAAGAGGGGACAAAGTGTGGTATGATTTCAGAGAGCTCAGAGCAGGCTATTGTGGCTAGAGACAGGCCCCACAGAGGCAGAAAGAGCTAAGGGTAGAGAGAAAAGTTGAGACCTGAGCAGAGAGAACCTTGAACAACAAGCTAAAGAATTTAGCAGTGGACTGACACTGGAGGTTTTAAACAAGGGAAATAGCACCACCAGGACAGGGCGTCCTGCTGCATTATCCTGCCCTGCCCACCTGGGCTTTCCCTGACTTGTCAATAGTGTTTGGTTACTTTTGATTGTACTGTTTGTATGTGGTTTGGTTTGCAGGTTTTCTATGGTTTAGTTTGTTTTTTGGCCTTTCCCTTTTCCTTACAGTTTTTCACAGCATATGGTCCTGATTATGTGCTGGAAATCACGCCAAGTTGCCGGCCAGACCGAAATGAGCCCCACCGAGTCCAGCAAATCCTCAACTACATCAAAGGTGAGCACCACCCCTTGAGTCCTGCCCTCCTCATTCCACCCAGCTTGTGGTGGCCCATCAGTGGGTTTTCCCCAAGTACCATTTGTCTTTTGGTGGCTAATTGTTTCACTGATTGGGAAGGGAAACCTCTTCTTGGCCTGCTAGACTGTAGTTGGAATTCTACACTGGCCACTCTGGTTGGGATTGTCATTTGGCCAGCTAATGTCACCTTCAGGGGCACAAAAGGTTCAGCTTTAGGCACCTCCAGTGGAAAACAGTTTCTGAAGTGTGCCCTGGAACCCTTTTTTCTTTCAAACGGGGAACAGTAAAACCCTCTTGAGATGAGGTAAGTTCAAGTCAATTCAGACTTGAAGGGCAGGATGAAGGGGTGCTCACAAGCATTCTGTTCCATTGTGTTTCCTTGGTCCATTAGAGCCTTAAAAAACTGTGGGCCTACAATGAATAGCCAGGGATTCGGATGCCCTGGGAGTAGGTTCCCCAGTCTTGCCCAGAGCACTAGAGATGGGGCTGTTGCTCTATCCTTCCCTTCCCTAAGGCTGGCCTACAATTATTCTGGCCTCTGGACAGAGGGAAAATGGCAGCCATCAGGTTATTGCCCTCTTGATCACACTGTCCACTGGCAGTTTGGGAATGTTGCCCTCAGCTTTTCAGTAGAGTCCACCTCCCAACCCCAGCTGCTGCTTCACAACTCAACTCACTTTGCCATTTTTAAAGTAGTTTTAGTACCATTTTCCTGTTTAAATTTGTATGTATGTACAAATATTTTTTGGATTGTAATTATTTGCAGAATTGAGAAGCCAAGGGTATCATAATGCCCATCCTGGAGAGCAAAATCCCCATGTTTATTCATATAACTACCAAGATAGAACCAGTTCTCCTACTTTGTGTCCCTCATTGGAACAGAATCCAGCATGGAAGGATTCTGTTCCAGAGTTAGTCTGAGGGGACACATTGTATCCTAGGATCTTTGCCCCGGGCTATATTAAGGCCCTATCCTCTAATAAAGCCCAGTCTGTGACAGCAGCCATGTCCATAGGCAGGTACTCCATGTCTCAGGCTCCTTTGGCTAAAAAAAAAATTCTAAGCTCATAAGTCATAGACTTATAAGGTTATGCCCACAGCAATGCTTATTGCCTCTCTTAGGTATCCCATAGACTTAAGCCTTTCCCTGACCCTATAGTTTCAAGCCACCTCCCTCTGGCCTCTCAATGGCTACTGACCCCACAGGTCCTTACTTCCTAACCAAATCTTCCTCCCCTGTCCAGCATCTCAGGCCTTTAAAAATCCTTCTATTCCTGACCCTTTTCTAGTCCTTCTCACTGTGCTGCAGCCCTAATTAATACTAGTGCTCCCAACCTAGTTTCCTCCTGTTCCTCTCAGACCCAGGACACATTTCCTGTTTCCTTTGGGACTGTACCTGAACCAACTTTTCTTACCCCTCTTCCTTCAACCTTGCCATTCCCCCCCTCCCCCATTCAGGCTCTAAATCCTGGTAAAGCATATACAAAGCAATAGAAACAGAAACTAAACAAGCCTCTGCAGCTACTTGCTCACATCTATGTATGTGCAGATATCTGTATACCCTCATGCTTTCCTACACATGTACCCAGACACATATCTCCAGAGAGTGGTGACATCTTGCTATTGAGGAAATGGAAATGACAAGCGAGAGAAGACATAAGGAAGGTAATTCAAAGGGAAGAGAACTAGGAAAGGTAAGAAACCCAAAAGAGGAATACATTTTTAAAATATTTTAGGTAAAAGATTAGTTTGAAGGTTTGTAAG